CTACGCCTATGAGGATTCACGCACTTCGTTACCATTTGTCGGCACGCACAGCCGGGTAGGTGTATTTGAGCAGTTCCAGCTTGGTTCATGCTCAAATACACCTACCAGCGTGGAACCAAGCTGGAACTGCCCAAGCTGGAATTGCTCTGGTAGGTGTATTTGAGCATGGGCCACCCGAATATGCAACAACAACCAGGTCGTTGGATGCTTTTCCCTACGCCTATGAGGATTCATGCACTTCGTTACCATTTGTCGGCAGGCACAGCCGTCATCGCAGGCGCCGAACTTTTTGGTGCGCACGAACCAAGCTGGAATTGCTCTAGTAGGTGTATTTGAGCATGAACCAAGCTTGGTTCGATGCTTTTCCCTACGCCTATGAGGATTCATCTATGCGTCATCACAGCCGTCATCACAGCCGTCATCACAGCCGTCATCACAGGCGTCATCACAGGCGCCGAATGGATACGGACGGCTTTGCACAGCCGTCATCACAGGCGTCATCACCTTCTTGTATGTGCATTTGAGCATTGGCCACCCGAATATGCAACAACATTCAGGTCGTTCGATGCATTTCCCTACGCCTATGAGGATTCATGCACTTCGTTACCATTTGTCGGCAGACACAGCCATCAGCGCAGTCGCCGAACTTTTCTGTGCACACGAACCAAGCTGGAATTGCTTTGGTAGGTGTATTTGAGCATGGGCCACCCGAATATGCAACAACATTCAGGTCGTTCGATGCATTTCCCTACGCCTATGAGGATTCATGCACTTCGTTACTATTTGTCGGCAGACACAGCCGTCAGCGCAGGCGCCGAACAATTCTGTGCGCACGAACCAAGCTGGAATTGCTCTGGTAGGTGTATTTGAGCATGGGCCATCCGAATATGCAACAACATTCAGGTAGTTCGATGCTTTTCCCTACGCCTATGAGGATTCATGCACTTCGTCACCATTTGTCAGCAGGCACAGCCGTCATCACAGGCGCCGAACTTTTTGGTGCGCACGAACCAAGCTGGAATTGCTCTGGTAGGTGTATTTGAGAATGGGCCACCCGAATATGCAACAACATTCAGGTCGTTCGATGCTTTTCCCTACGCCTATGAGGATTCATGCACTTTGTTACCATTTGTCGGCAGGCACAGCCGTCATCACAGGCGCCTATGAGGATTCATGCACTTCGTTACCCTTTGTCGGCTGGCACAGCCGTCATCGCATGCGCCGAACTTTTTGGTGCGCACGAACCAAGCTGGAATTGCTCTTGTAGGTGTATTTGAGCATTGGCCACCCGAATATGCAACAACATTCAGGTCGTTCGATGCTTTTCCCTATGCCTATGAGGATTCATGCACTTTGTTACCATTTGTCGGCAGGCACAGCCGTCATCGCAGGCGCCGAACGTTTTGGTGCGCACGAACCAAGCTGGAATTGCTCTGGTAGGTGTATTTGAGCATGGGCCACCTGAATATGCAACAACATTCAGGTCGTTCGATGCTTTTCCCTACGCTTATGAGGATTCATGCACTTTGTTACCATTTGTCGGCAGACACAGCCGTCATCGCAGGCGCCGAACTTTTCTGTGCGCACGAACGAAGCTGAAATTGCTCAGGTAGGTGTATTTGAGCATGGGCCACCCGAATATGCAACAACATTCAGGTCGTTCGATGCTTTTCCCTACGCCTATGAGGATTCACGCACTTCGTTACCATTTGTCGGCAGGCACAGCCGGGTAGGTGTATTTGAGCAGTTCCAGCTTGGTTCATGCTCAAATAAACCTACCAGCGTGGAACCAAGCTGGAACTGCCCAAGCTGGAATTGCTTTGGTAGGTGTATTTGAGCATGGGCCACCCGAATATGCAACAACATCCAGGTCGTTCGATGCTTTTCCCTACGCCTATGAGGATTCATGCACTTCGTTACCATTTGTCGGCAGGCACAGCCGTCATCGCAGGTGCCGAACTTTTTGGTGCGCACGAACCAAGCTGGAATTGCTATGGTAGGTGTATTTGAGCATGAACCAAGCTTGGTTCGATGCTTTTCCCTAAGCCTATGAGGATTCAATTAGGCGTCATCACAGCCGTCATCACAGGCGTCATCACAGGCGCCGAATGGATACGGACGGCTTTGCACAGCCCTCATCACAGGCGTCATCACCTTCTTGTAGGTGTATTTGAGCATTGGCCACCCGAATATGCAACAACATTCAGGTCGTTCGATGCATTTCCCTACGCCTATAAGGATTCATGCACTTCGTTACCATTTGTCGGCAGACACAGCCGTCAGCGCAGGCGCCGAACTTTTCTGTGCGCACGAACCAAGCTGGAATTGCTTTGGTAGGTGTATTTGAGCATGGGCCACCCGAATATGCAACAACATTCAGGTCGTTCGATGCATTTCCGTACGCCTATGAGGATTCATGCACTTCGTTACTATTTGTCGGCAGACACAGCCGTCAGCGCAGGCGCCGAACATTTCTGTGCGCACGAACCAAGCTGGAATTGCTCTGGTAGGTGTATTTGAGCATGGGCCACCCGAATATGCAACAACATTCAGGTCGTTCGATGCTTTTCCCTACGCCTATGAGGATTCATGCACTTCGTTACCATTTGTCAGCAGGCACAGCCGTCATCGCAGGCGCCGAACTTTTTGGTGCGCACGAACCAAGCTGGAATTGCTCTGGTAGGTGTATTTGAGCATGGGCCACCCGAATATGCAACAACATTCAGGTCGTTTGATGCTTTTCCCTACGCCTATGAGGATTCATGCACTTCGTTACCATTTGTCGGCAGACACAGCCGTCATCGCAGGCGCCGAACTTTTTTGTGCGCACGAACGAAGCTGAAATTGCTCAGGTAGGTGTATTTGAGCATGGGCCACCCGAATATGCAACAACATTCAGGTCGTTCGATGCTTTTCCCTACGCCTATGAGGATTCACGCACTTCGTTACCATTTGTCAGCAGGCACAGCCGGGTAGGTGTATTTGAGCAGTTCCAGCTTGGTTCATGCTCAAATACACCTACCAGCGTGGAACCAAGCTGGAACTGCCCAAGCTGGAATTGCTCTGGTAGGTGTATTTGAGCATGGGCCACCCGAATATGCAACAACATCCAGGTCGTTCGATGCTTTCCCCTACGCCTATGAGGATTCATGCACTTCGTTACCATCTGTCGGCAGGCACAGCCGTCATCGCAGGTGCCGAACTTTTTGGTGCGCACGAACCAAGCTGGAATTGCTCTGGTAGGTGTATTTGAGCATGAACCAAGCTTGGTTCGATGCTTTTCCCAACGCCTATGAGAATTCATTTAGGCGTCATCACAGCCGTCGTCACAGGCGTCATCACAGGCGCCGAATGGATACGGACGGCTTTGCACAGCCATCATCACAGGCGTCATCACCTTCTTGTAGGTGTATTTGAGCATTGGCCACCCGAATATGCAACAACATTCAGGTCGTTCGATGCATTTCCCTACGCCTATGAGGATTCATGCACTTCGTTACCATTTGTCGGCAGACACAGCCGTCAGCGCAGGCGCCGAACTTTTCTGTGCGCACGAACCAAGCTGGAATTGCTTTGGTAGGTGTATTTGAGCATGGGCCACCCGAATATGCAAAAACATTCAGGTCGTTGGATGCTTTTCCCTACGCCTATGATGATTCATGCACTTCGTTAACATTTGTCGGCAGACACAGCCGTCAGCGCAGGCGCCGAACTTTTTGGTGCGCACGAACCAAGCTGGAATTGCTCTGGTAGGTGTATTTGAGCATGGGCCACCCGAATATGCAACAACATTCAGGTCGTTCGATGCTTTTCCCTACGCCTATGAGGATTCATGCACTTCGTTACCATTTGTCGGCAGGCACAGCCGTCATCGCTGGCGCCGAACTTTTCTGTGTGCACGAACCAAGCTGGAATTGCTCTGGTAGGTGTATTTGAGCATGGGCCACCCGAATATGCAAAAACATTCAGGTCGTTCGATGCTTTTCCCTACGCCTATGAGGATTCATGCATTTCGTTACCATTTATCGGCAGGCACAGCCGTCATCGATGGCGCCGAACTTTTCTGTGCGCACGAACCAAGCTGGAATTGCTCAAGTAGGTGTATTTAAGCATGGGCCACCCGAATATGCAACATTCAGGTCGTTCGATGCTTTTCCCTACGCCTATGAGGATTCATGCACTTCGTTACCATTTGTCGGCAGTCACAGCCGTCTGCACAGGCGTAGAACTTTTCTCTGCACACGAACCAAGCTGAAATTGCTCTGGTAGGTGTATTTAAGCATGGGCCACCCGAATATGCAAAAACATTCAGGTGGTTCGATGCTTTTCCCTACGCCTATGAGGATTCATGCACTTCGTTACCATTTGTCGGCAGGCACAGCCGTCATCGCAGGCGCCGAACATTTTGGTGCGCACGAACCAAGCTGGAATTGCTCTAATAGGTGTATTTGAGCATGGGCCACCCGAATATGCAACAACATTCATGTCGTTCGATGCTTTTCCCTACGCCTACGAGGATTCATGCACTTCGTTACCATTTGTCGGCAGACACAGCCGTCAGCGCAGGCGCCAAACTTTTATGTGCAAACGAACCAAGCTGGAATTGCTCTGGTAGGTGTATTTCAGCATGGGCCACCCAAATATGCAACAACATTCAGGTCGTTCGATGCTTTTCCCTACGCCTATGAGGATTCATGCACTTCGTTACCATTTGTCGGCAGGCACAGCCGTCATCGCAGGCGCCGAACTTTTTGGTGCGCACGAACCAAGCTGGAATTGCTCTGGTAGGTGTATTTGAGCATGGGCCACCCAAATATGCAACAACATTCAGGTCGTTCGATGCTTTTCCCTACGCCTATGAGGATTCATGCACTTCATTACCATTTGTCGGCAGGCACAGCCGTCATCGCAGGCGCCGAACTATTTGGTGCACTCGAACCAAGCTGGAATTGCTCTGGTAGGTGTATTTGAGCATGGGCCACCCGAATATGCAACAACATTCAGGTCATGAGGGGCTCTGTGCCATGAGCCATGAGGGGCTCGGTGTTATGAGCCATGAGGGGCTCTGTGCCATGAGCCATGAGGGGCTCTGTGCCATGAGCCATGAGGGGCTCTGTGCCATGAGCCATGAGGGGCTCTGTGCCATGAGCCATGAGGGGCTCTGTGCCATGAGCCATGAGGGGCTCTGTGCCATGAGCCATGAGGGGCTCTGTGCCATGAGCCATGAAGGGCTCTGTGCCATGAGCCATGAGGGGATCTGTGCCATGAGCCATGAGGGGCTCTGTGCCATGAGCCATGAGGGGCTCTGTGCCATGAGCCATGAGGGGCTCTGTGCCATGAGCCATGAGGGGCTCTGTGCCATGAGCCATGAGGGGCTCTGTTCCATGAGCCAAGAGGGGCTCTGTGCCATGAGCCATGAGGGGCTCTGTGCCATGAGCCATGAGGGGCTCTTGCCATGAGCCATGAGGGGCTCTGTACCATGAGCCATGAGGGGCTCTGTGCCATGAGCCTTGAGGGGCTCTGTGCCATGAGCCATGAGGGGCTCTGTGCCATGAGCCATGAGGGGCTCTGTGCCATGAGCCATGAGGGGCTCTGTGCATGAGCCATGAGGGGCTCTTGCCATGAGCCATGAGGGGCTCTGTGCCATGAGCCATGAAGAGCTCTGTGCCATGAGCCATCTCTGTGCCATGAGCCATGTGTGCCATGAGCCATTTGTGCCATGAGCCATGAGGGGCTCTGTGCCATGAGCCATGAGGGGCTCTGTGCCATGAGCCATGAGGGGCTCTTGCCATGAGCCATGAGGGGCTCTGTACCATGAGCCATGAGGGGCTCTGTGCCATGAGCCATGAGGGGCTCTGTGCCATGAGCCATGAGGGGCTGTGCCATGAGCCATGAGGGGCTCTGTGCCATGAGCCATGAGGGGCTCTGTGCCATGAGCCATGAGTGGCTGTGCCATGAGCCATGAGGGGCTCTGTGCCATGAGCCATGAGGGGCTCTGTGCCATGAGCCATGAGTGGCTCTGTGCCATGAGCGATGAGGGGTTCTGTGCCATGAGCCATGAGGGGCTCTGTGCCATGAGCCATGAGGGGCTCTGTGCCATGAGCCATGAGGGGCTCTGTGCCATGAGCCATGAGGGGCTCTGTGCCATGAGCCATGAGGGGCTCTGTGCCATGAGCCATGAGGGGCTCTGTGCCATGAGCCACGAGGGGCTCTGTGCCATGAGCCATGAGGGGCTCTGTGCCATGAGCCATGTGTTCCATGAGCCATGAGGGGCTCTGTGCCATGAGCCATGAGGGGCTCTGTGCCATGAGCCATGAGGGGCTCTGTGCCATGAGCCACGAGGGGCTCTGTGCCATGAGCCATGAGGGGCTCTGTGCCATGAGCCATGTGTTCCATGAGCCATGAGGGGCTCTGTGCCATGAGCCATGAGGGGCTCTGTGCCATGAGCCATGAGGGGCTGTGCCATGAGCCATGAGGGGCTCTGTGCCATGAGCCATGAGGGGCTCTGTGCCATGAGCCATGAGTGGCTCTGTGCCATGAGCAATGAGGGGTTCTGTGCCATGAGCCATGAGGGGCTCTGTGCCATGAGCCATGAGGGGCTCTGTGCCATGAGCCATGAGGGGCTCTGTGCCATGAGCCATGAGGGGCTCTGTGCCATGAGCCATGAGGGGCTCTGTGCCATGAGCCACGAGGGGCTCTGTGCCATGAGCCATGAGGGGCTCTGTGCCATGAGCCATGTGTTCCATGAGCCATGAGGGGCTCTGTGCCATGAGCCATGAGGGGCTCTGTGCCATGAGCCATGAGGGGCTGTGCCATGAGCCATGAGGGGCTCTGTGCCATGAGCCATGAGGGGCTCTGTGCCATGAGCCATGAGGGGCTCTGTGCCATGAGCCATGAGTGGCTCTGTGCCATGAGCGATGAGGGGTTCTGTGCCATGAGCCATGAGGGGCTCTGTGCCATGAGCCATGAGGGGCTCTGTGCCATGAGCCATGAGGGGCTCTGTGCCATGAGCCATGAGGGGCTCTGTGCCATAAGCCATGAGGGGCTCTGTGCCATGAGCCACGAGGGGCTCTGTGCCATGAGCCATGAGGGGCTCTGTGCCATGAGCCACGAGGGGCTCTGTGCCATGAGCCATGAGGGGCTCTGTGCCATGAGCCATGAGGGGCTCTGTGCCATGAGCCATGAGGGGCTCTGTGCCATGAGCCATGAGGGGCTCCGTGCCATGAGCCATGAGGGGCTCTGTGCCATGAGCCATGAGGGGCTCTGTGCCATGAGCCATGAGGGGCTCTGTGCATGAGCCATGAGGGGCTCTTGCCATGAGCCATGAGGGGCTCTGTGCCATGAGCCATGAAGAGCTCTGTGCCATGAGCCATCTCTGTGCCATGAGCCATGTGTGCCATGAGCCATGAGGGGCTCTGTGCCATGAGCCATGAGGGGCTCTGTGCCATGAGCCATGTGTGCCATGAGCCATGAGGGGCTCTGTGCCATGAGCCATGAGGGGCTCTGTGCCATGAGCCATGAGGGGCTCTGTGCCATGAGCCATGAGGGGCTCTGTGCCATGAGCCATGAGGGGCTCTGTGACATGAGCCATGAGGGGCTATGTGCCATGAGCCATGAGGGGCTCTGTGCCATGAGCCATGAGGGGCTCTGTGCCATGAGCCATGAGGGGATCTGTGCCATGAGCCATGAGGGGCTCTGTGCCATGAGCCATGAGGGGCTCTGTGCCATGAGCCATGACGGGCTCTGTGCCATGAGCCATGAGGGGCTCTGTGCCATGAGCCATGAGGGGCTCTGTGCCATGAGCCATGAGGGGCTCTGTGCCATGAGCCATGAGGGGCTCTGTGCCATGAGCCATGACGGGCTCTGTGCCATGAGCCATGAGGGGCTCTGTGCCATGAGCCATGAGGGGCTCTGTGCCATGAGCCATGTGTTATGTGATGCTATCATTTGCATTCACGTCTGTCTGCCTCCCATCATATGTTCGTGCGTTGCATGCGTGGTGTGCGCGTGTGCAAGAATTTGTGTTTTGTGTGGTTTGAATTTTATGAGTATGTGTGAATGCTATTTGGCTTGAGCAAATATATGAATTGACTCCTCTGCTCAAGAGCTTTCCGACGAACCAAGGATTGCTTCAATCGGAGCACGAACGAGAAAGTTACGAACGTTTGAAGTTCGTATGCTTTTGATATTTGGTTGTGGCGACTATGGGAAGTTGTGGGGTTGACTCCATAAGGGGTACAAACTTTTGGGGGTTGGGAAATTCGTCACCATCACTGTAGATGCTGCCAAGTGGTTGGGAGAAACCAAATTGGGTTGGCAAGTGTGGCCAACTTGGGTGAGGTGGATTGTGGAGGTTGGGAAAGTGACAAATGTCAAAGTTGGGGTGCCTATAGAGAGGGGAATTGTGTGGCATGGAGTTTCCTTAATTGGGGAATCTCTTGGGACCTTCCCTCTCGTCCTCCTTATCATCCCCTACTACCTGGTTTCTAGCTACTCTAACTTCCTTGTGTGGTAATTGTGAGAACATTGAGTTAAGATTCTATGGCAGCATACCCCCCTGTGCGCCGAAATTGATAAGTCGAGATATACTTCATGTCTTGATACGATTCAACTTGGGAATGGTAGCTACGCTCTAGAGCTACAACATATCCAAAATCGGTGAAGTTCTAACAGTGCGGTTTTCATCGACGGCGTTTCTTGTGAGCGCGACGATTCTTGTGCTGCTGGTTGAAGGTTTGTCCGCTAACCTCCTCTCTGTGCGCCGGCTGCAGAAAAGCAAGGCAAAGGTTACGTTCGGCCCAACCAGCTGCCGTGCAAAGCTTGGGAAGTTGCTGCTGTGGGATTTGGAGGAAAAGAGCAGCTGCATCAAGGACCTATGGCAGCTGCCCATCATTCCTTTGAATGGGAAACCACCAGCAATGGCAGCGGCAGCAGCAACGGCTAAAGCAACTGCGGGAGGAGAAGAGACTGCACTAACTGATGGGGCCCTGGATGCAGTCAAGAAGGTGCAGCAGCCACATCAGCCACATGGTGAGGTGCTTGCTGGTGTGGATGCGACAGCTGCATGGGCAAAGGCTTCATCTGGGAGTGGTGAGGCCGGGAGACGTGGCACGAGAGGCTGTGCCACATCAACATCCCTATGCTGCAGAAATTGGTGAAGGATGGGAGCTTGAAGGGGTTGGAGGTGAAGGGGGCAGCGAAGGAGATTGGGAGCTGCCCTACGTGCCTTGAGACGAAGTTAAAAAATTCCCCTTCAGCAGCAGCACAGGACCAGCCAAGACACCACTCGCACTTGTGCACATGGATGTGGTGGGCCCTACGAGGGCCAATTCGCTCTCGGGCAGCCGCTACTTCTTGACCATTGTGGATGACCACACGCGTGCGGTGTGGGTATACCCTCTCAAGACCAAAGGGGGGGTGGCAGCGGCTGTTCTTAAGGAGTGGATGCCGAGAGCACAAAGGGAGAGCGGACACAAGGTGAAGGTGATCTGCACCGACAACGGGGGAGAGTTCATTGGCAATGAGTTTGAGGCGGTGCTGAAGAAGGGCATTCAGCATCAGCTCACAGTGCCCTACAACCCTCAGCAGAACGGCGTGGCTGAGCGGTTCAACCGGACCCTGCAGGAAGGTGCTTGTTATAGTCACAATAGCCTTGAATGTGCCTAAAACGAAAGATAGAGAGCACAGACGGATTTCTGCACAGCGGCTTCAAACTTTGATAGCGTTCTGCTCACAGCTGCAAATGACTTGATTCAAATTGGATCTGGAGCGTCTTCACGTCGTCTACAATTAGCAATTTAGATTGCACGATTTGATAAAGAATTGACGACACAGCGTCGGTTTGAACGAACGGTACTATGGCAGCCACTATAGTCTTAGAACACAAGATAGGAAGAGTTACGAGTTGGGAATGACTCCCAGCTCCTACAAACCCCAAGAGCCGAGGTACAGTGATGTGGAACAGTGCCACACTGTCCCCAACCACGAAGGGTCTCGAAACTACCCTTCACTAGGGCCTACACCAAGTGAAATGTTACACTACACTAAGTAATGTAACTATCTTCAATATCTTGAGGTGTACCCTTTTGGCAAGCTTCGAAATCACTTGAGGCTTGACACCAAGGCTCGGGCTCTTCATCACAAACTCATCCTTGAGTTCTTGATGGGTCTGCTGCACACACCTGCGACACGCCGAACGTTCGACACAGGACAAAATAGAAACCGCGCACGACAAAATAGGACAAAATAGAAACCGCGCACGACAAAATAGAAACCGCGCGCGAGACACAAACAACCGCGTAACACGCGTCTAGCGATAACTCGCTATTGACTCGACACACACACTCGACATCATGACTCAACATTCACACACAATTATAAGCATGAAATATATATTATCCCATGCCCTCATACCATTCCATACACACACACATTCACGCACACGGACAACAAGCCGAGTGCAAACCGTAGGGTTGCACCAACAAACTCCCCCTCGGATTGTTGGCCTTAGGATATGTTGCTCTCTCAGTTCAGAGCCATCCCAGCCAGCTTGCAACACTTCCAATGCTGCTGCTCCACCAGCCTCTTGGTCATCATGTCAGCCGGCTGCCCCGTGGTCTTCACGTAGCGCAACTCAACTTCACCCGCGGTTACCATGCTCCTCGTCCAATGCCACTTCACCCTCATGTGCTTCGTGAGTCCATGCAACACAGGGTTCTTAGCAAGAGCAATGGCACCCTGGCTGTCACAGTACAGTGGGGTAGGTCCTTGCTGCTCCTCCCCCAATTCAGCCAACAAACGCCGCTGCCACACAATCTCTCGTACGGCACGGAAGAGTGCCATGTACTCGGACTCCACCGAGCTCAAAGCTTGGTCAACCTGCTTCTTGCTCTCCCAAGCAGTTGGGCCTCCACCAACACAGCATATGAAGCCTCCCACACTTGTCATGTCCTCTGGTTCTGATGCATATGAAGCATCCGAGTAGGCGGTGAGGAACAAACGCCCGGGTTCAACACCATCCGCGCCCTTTTGGCGCCTTTGTGCCGCCGCCGAGTATTGCAGCCCAACGGTCGGTGTTTGGCCAAGATACTTGGCCACCCTCATTCCAGCTGCTACCTGCTCCTCATTAGGGCATTGCACAACCCTAGCCAGCTGCCCGGTAGCAAACGCGACGTCCGGTCGGGTGTTTACCGCCGCATACATGAGGCTGCCCACCAACGAGTGAAATCGGCGCCTCTCCTCTTCACCAACGCTCTCCTCCTCTGGTCCCTTCACACACTTGAACCCAGAGGGAAAGGGTGTAGCCACATGGCCTTCACTCTGCCCAAAGTTGGCAGCCAATGCCTCCAGGTACTTTCGTTGATGCACCCGCATGCACCGCTTCTCCACATCTCGTTCGATGTGGAGCCCAAGGTAGAAGCTCACGTCACCAAGGGCCTTGCACTTGAACTTGTCTTGAAGCTTCAGCATCACCTCCTTCACAAGGTCAGAAGAGGGTGAGAAAATGAGGATGTCATCCACATAAACCACCATGAAACTCCTCTGCTCCCCCTCGCCAAGCATGAACAAGGAGTGATCGGCCGTTGAGGGAGTGAAGCCGATCCCCTCCAACACTTCGCGCAGCTTCATGTACCATTGCCTAGGGGCCTGCTTCAGCCCATAGAGGGCCTTCTTCAGCTTCCACACTCTGCCACTACCATCATCAAACCCCTCTGGCTGCGCCATAAAAATCTCCTCCTCAAGGATGCCGTTAAGGAATGCCGTTACGATGTCCATTTGCTTTACTACCCATCCTTTGATGGTGGCTCCCGCGAATAGGGTTCGCAGCGTCGTCGGCTTCACCACAGGGGCAAACAGCTCCTTGAAGTCCACCTTCTCCTTCTGCTGATACCCCTTGGCTACAAGCCTAGACTTTTAGCGCTCGATCTTGCCGTCGGCATCCGACTTGATTTTGAAGAGCCACTTGGACGTTATCGCCGTACGCCCCTCCGGTAGCTCCACCAATTCAAACGTGTCATTCTCCTCGATGCTCTTCAGCTCACTCTCCATGGCCTTCTTCCACTCCTCAGCATCACTACTCTCCAAAGCCTCCTTGAGAGTTGCTGGTTCTCCCGGCATCTCCACCGGAGGGAAGAACGCGAAGGCACACTCCTCGTAGTCACTCTCCTCGTCGTCTCCGACCATCATTGCCGCTCCGGCCAGGGCTGTCTTGCCCTGCTTTCCCGGCGCATCATAGGTCAGCCTATTAGGGGGTTGAACTCTCCTCTTCCCCCTTCCTTCCTCCTCAGCTGCAGGGACTTGAAGGCCTTGGCGTTGCTGCGGTGTGGCTCGAATCCGTGGAGCACTCGTAGTACGGGAAGGGAGTGACAGTGCACGCTCGCTCACTTGCTGCACCTCCTCCTCTTCTTCCTCTGCATCATTGGCCTCCTCTCCCCCATTCACAAGGGAGGATTGCCTTGTGGTTGTGCTGCCGCTGCTCAGCTCCAAAGGCAGCTCCACATGCTCCAAACCGGAACTCTTCACCTCCCCAAACCGCACGCCTATCTTCGCCTCATTCTCCGCCTTCCAATCCTTGTACATGAAGTTCTCCAT